TCTGTTCTGCTCACATCTGGTCAATTTTCTGTCAAGAATTACATCTTTACTACTCTTTTACAACACACAGCCAATACAGCTGAAAGGGAGTAAGTTGCTCACTATCCAACCTCTGTACTATCAGCAGTATTATCAGTAACTTCAATGAAGCTGTAAAGCTGTTTTACTGAAGATGCGTGAACTGGAAAGAACTCTGAATTTCATAACCCAGAGTGAGTTTGAAGAATTGGCATTTACAGGAAGATGGGAAAACAGTCTTTGCTTGAAAATTAAACAACACTGGAATGGAATTAGTCATAATAAACTGCACTTTAAGACACACTTTCCATAGTAGATTAGTATTTTAAGAATTATATTAAAAGATATAATAAGATATAATAACGTGTTATTTATAGGGTAGTATTGGGATTTAAAGAGCCTATTGAATTCTGTTTTCAATGAAGATGTATTAAGTAAATGTTGCTGTATTCTCTAGAGCTATACAATTCTTGTAATCTTTTTTATAGAGGCCTTTGGCTAAGTCATAATTCAAAATGTTACTCATTTCCCTTTCTGTCTGTATGTCACATAAAGATGTGCATCCAATACATTGTCTTGTGGTTCTCAGTGTATTATACACATCCCAGTTCCTGTTATATATACATTCCTTTGTAGCGATATGATTTATTTCTTTAAGCACTTTCCCATCTTAAAATGTCAGATGCTTCCTGTGCTTATATACAAAGAAGTTTAAGCTCCCAAAGGTACTGAAGTTCAACAGAATTCTGACTGTGGACAGTATGAATTTACCAGTGAATTGTTGGGAAATGCACAATTGCACCTACTTTCCTCAGCTCTTGAGCACAAATTCATTTCATAAGTATTTAACACATCAGTCATCAAGAAGATCAAACAGAGGCATGGTTTTGAAAAACAAGTTAAACTGAACTGTCTAGAGGTTTATTCTTCAAGTAAAAGCTTTGATTCTCAAGGGTTATCACTTGTGGCACACAGGAACTTGTCAAGATTAGGAAAATGGGATTTCAAGGCCAGCTTTTATCTATTTCCATTATCTGAATCTTACTATCTTTTGTAAATAACTTTTTTTTTTTCCCCACCAAATAACTTACTTATAAAGCTTTTCGGGTAAGTAAGGAAAATACCATTATGACTTTACTAGGTTTCAAATTGGTTACTTAATAACAAAACTAAGCTGTATTAACCAGGTGGTTATTGCCTATCACTGCATTCTGCAGCAGACCTCAAATGTTTCTTTTATTGCATTCTCTGTATACACACATTATATAGAAGCATTCCTTTATGAAAAGATTGACAAATGAAAGTGTAACTTTGCATAAAGGTTGTTCAAGTATTGGAGCCCTAGGTAAAGAAAAACCTGCACCGATGATCTTCAGCTCTGTGGAAAAACTGTGCCTCTCCCTTGCCACTACTTTATATCCTGCAGCCTTATTGCCACAAGGCCACACTAAACATAAGAGTATACTCAGTAACCTGAACTAAAGCAGCTAAGAGGATAGCTTAAGCAGAACAGAGGACCTGCAGAAAACTGCAGTGTGGCCCAGCAGGGTGATGGGAGGACATGAAATGGGGAGCGGGATGACTGGTGGTGGTCAAGAAGAGTGTATGTTTGGAGGTGTGGACTGGTACTGAAATGAATGCCATCTTTCTAGTTTACCCACAAAAGTACTTAAGTCCAGTTCTCCTGTTAACAAAATATTTGTGACATTTGCCAGCTCATTAAAACAACCACAGGCTTCTTCAGATTGACTCATTTAACAAAAAAAACCCAAGCAACAGCAACATCCTTTGTAACGACAGCTAGTGTTTTGAAGAGACAAATGTTTCACACAACACTTCTCAAAAAAGCAACAATTTTTCAACAAGATTATTCAACCTCAGTATCTCTAAATTGTAAGAGGCTTTTTCAGAGCAATCAGCCCTGCAATTTCAGCGGAGCATTTGAAGTCTTGAGTACACAGGGAAATTGGCCCAAATAACTCCTAGGTACTAGTCTCCACTAGTAATAAAGGCTCTGAAGGCCAAAGGAAGGCATTAGCAGCACTTGTGCAACTCCCTTAACAGGGTGTACACATGTAACTAATTGGAAACCAGTAAACAATTCTGGTATTGAAGCACAAAGAAGATAATCTCACTCACACTACTTCAGTCATTTTCTTCTCATGTGGCTGACTGGAATAAAACTACTAAAATACTGTTTCCCTCATGCAGAAAAAGATCTAGGGGATATAATAGATCACAAGCTGATTACGAGTCAACAGTGTCAAGCCATTGTGAAAAAGGCAAACACTGCACTAAGCTGTGCAAACAGGAGTAGGGCCTGCAAGACATGCAAAGTAATCCTGCTTGCCCAGCACTGGTCCAACCCCAGCAGGAACCGCAGGTCTGGCGCTGGGTCTCATCTTCCACTGGAGATGCAGAGAACCCAAAGAGAGTCCAGATGAGATTGAACACAGAATGAACAGCGAGGAAGGGCTGAAAGAATCAGGTGTGCATAACCTTAACAAGAGAGCAGGATGGGAGGGAACTGTGACAGCAACTTGACAATACATAAACAGTGGCTGTGGCGGGGTGCAGGGTGGATAAGGAATAACAGATTTGGGATGGAGTTTGCAAGCCCTCTCAGGCAAACGACGAGTTAACATAGGCATTAGCCAGAAGGCAGCTGAGAGGGAAAGCACAGCTGCAGGGATAAACCGCTGGGGAGAGAGCTGTGAGAGCACCCCTGAAAGCTCAGGGCAGAGCTACAGACTCAGGGGATGCTGGGCTGTGTCCTGTATAAGGGATTCTGGTCTTATCTTTGGCAGGTTAGTTGCCTTCTCATTTGTACTGACTCTATGTCTGATAATGAAATAGGTATTTCTTTGTTAGGCCTGCAAAAAAGCAGGAGAGAGTGCTGGGGGTGGTGGTGGTAAGGTTGTTGGTTTGGTTTGTTTTAATAGCCCAGCAAAACTTTTCACATCTGGCCTAAAATGTGGTCAACTTGGTGAATCAGCTGAGGTAGGAGGAAAGGAGGCTAACTTTTGCCTAAGGGAAAGTATTTAAACTACTAACGCTACCTAAACCGGGGAACTGAAGACTATTCTGTGAAGAGAGAGAGAGAGCAAGGAGCTTCTGTGTAACAGAGGGAAGTCATGCAATAGGCTCAACAAGTCTAAAACTGAGGCAATGATAGGTGTCTGGATGTTTTTGCTAGGGGAAAAAGATCTGGTCCATCCCTTCTAGGTAAAGCATGACCCAGACTAGATGTCCCAGCACCATGGCCAGACGTCCTGTGCTGGGGAGTCACCACCTCCCTGGGGAGATGATTACAATGGCTGATAATTCTCATTCTGAAAATTTTTCTTCTTGAGTCCAGTCATAATCTCCTCAGCAGTAACTGGTACCCATTACCCCTTGTCTAGATACTAAGAAATTAATTCTAAGGGTAAAGATATTGAGGGCTGCAATAAATTGTCTGAGGATGTTCTGAAACCTCCATTGTTGGAAGAAGGCCTTTGTGAACAGGCTAGTAATTATTTGTCAGGAATCATAGAATCATAGAATGGTTTGGGTTGGAAAGGACCTTAAGATCATCCAGTTCCAACCCCCCTGCCATGGGCAGGGACACCTCACACTAAACCAGGGCACCCAAGGCTTTGTCCAGCCGGGCCTCAAACACCTCCAGGGATGGAGCATTCACAGCCTCCCTGGGCAACCCATTCCAGTGCCTCACCACCCTAACAGTAAAGAATTTCTTCCTTATATCCAATCTAAACTTCCCCTGTTTAAGTTTATGACAAAGTTGATCCTGTCTTAGGACGGCACAACTGCTAGATGAGCTTCTCAAATCCCATTCTGCCCTGTAGTACTATAATAAGAAATACTGCACCCCTCTTGCCACTTAACAGTGATATTTATGAACATAACTGACCATTTTTGGAAGCTCAAAGCATTCTTTGAATAGAAGTGGTTTCAAAGCTAGCTGTAAACTGAATTTTTTACCTACTCTGTTGAATGATCCTTTCAACATGGTGTGTTCTGGAAATAATTCAGTAGTGAAACTTACAAATTCAGCAACAAAGGTGTTAGAAGAAAACTCTATACTCACTCAGTCATCCCAATAAAGATATGCCTGAATTAAGTTGCCCACATGCTCCACAACAGCAAGAAATTGATTTGTTTGTAACGATACTCTCTTACCCTCCCAGTTACAGTTTGACCGGTACAAAAAGAAACTAAACCCAAGCCGACTTGGCCTAAATAACCCCAGCGATAGCCTACACAAGGAGTCCTTTTTTTGTCTTTCTTTTAAACTCCCAGTGAATCAGTTGAGATCTGTCCTCACAAGTCAATAGGTCTAAGTTGTTCCTACTATAACTAGGCTGTGTCATTTTTGAAATGACAGCTAAATGCAGAAAGCAAAACAACTTTCCAGATACCGTTTCTTTCCATCAAGATGAGGAAACTTTCTACTTGATGGCTCAAGCCTCCAGAATTTGCAGGTTTTAGGTTCACAGTAATGATCCTCAAGAGACTGTTTTATCAGAAATAAAAGCTAAAAACTAGTATGATGAGAAAAGTCTTAAGACTCTGGAATGCTTTTAGCTGCGAGAACTTTCTGTGCTGTTCCTCACCACTCTGAAAAACCCATGAAGCAGAGCAATTGAAAGTACAACTAGGACCAAACCATTTTTGCTTGTTTCTAAATGAGTCTGTCGCGACACCATTAGATCTCTTTCCATTCTGACCCACATGAAAGAGGAACAGGCACTGAAACAATGGACTGTATTTTGAAAACTATTTAATTGCCCAAGAACACAGAAATGCCTGCTAGGTTTTCAAAAGCCAGTAGGTAACAACTTTCACAATGGAAGCTAGATGCCTAGGTTGCACTGAAAATCCCCCTGAATGGTTTCTGCATGCTTGTGGGCCTTTAAAAGTCTGTCCAAAATCCCCCCAATTGAGAACCACGTTTTAAGGAGATGTTTGTATTTAATTACCCTCTGTGGTCAGCTGCAGAGTATAACATTGCTGGTGGTTTTGGTCGGTTCTGTGCTCTCCTCTGGGAAGGAAGTATGGGGTTTGCTCTGCGTTTTGTAGACTGCTTCACATAATGAGGCACTGGTCCCTGACTGGGACTTTTGTTTGGTTCAGAGCGAGTAAAGCAATACTCTGCTACACTTTCTTAGATAAAGCAAGGCATGCAGGCAGCATCGAAGTGCTCTCAGCCTTCGTGGCCAGAGAAAGCAATGATCGTATTCAGCAGTGCTGTTCACAGAGAGATTAAACTGAGGCTGGATGGAGAGAAGCCGTGTAGATAACTTGAAATAGATTCCGAGGGTGAATTACTGCTTGGCTGTCGTCCTCACCTCCTCAGCTCTGTGACTGGTGTGCCAGAGAACACTTTAAGATAACTCTGCTCTGTTTGCTGCTTGCATTGTCTGGCTGTTGAACGCTCTTCAGATAAACAAGGGATAATCTCTGGATTTTGCTCAACAAGGATCGCTTTGTGCAAAGTTTAAAACAGGTTGTTGTACAGGGCCTGCTCTTGCTGTACCTTTTAGCTGTGAACACTTCCAGGGGACCAAGTGGCTGCACATGTAAGTAAATGATCGATAATGGTATCATTGCAGCCAAGAAGTATTTCCTCGTTTTCATTGAAAAGGCCCTGGTCGCACTGAGCAGCCCAGTGCTGACTGGAGAGACACATGTAAAACACTGCCATTAGAGAACGGGTGGGAAACCGCAGGCACCGCTTATTTAACTAATTGCTGCCTCCACAGAGAAGACCTTCAGCTGCCTGCGGCCCGACCAGCGCACCCGGAGCTGACACCTCGCACCTTTAAAGCTTTAAATCGCCTCACGGGGCCCTCCAGGCCGAAGCCGTTCCCGGCCTCCCGGCCCGGCCTCCCCCCTCAGCGCCTCGCTGCTCGCCGCCGGCACTAGCCCGTCGCCCAAAGCAGCTTCCGGCCGCCGGAGCCATCGTTGTTCCTCTGCCCCGCGCGCGTTGAGGCAGCTCCCGCTGGAGCGCGGGGCGGGAAAGGCCTGAAGGGACGAGGCGGCGGCGGCGGCGCGGGCGTGAGGAGCGGGAGCGGCGGGGCCTGTTCCCGGGGAGGAAACCCCGGGCGGGGCGGGGGGGAGACCGGCAGCATCCCGCGGGCACCCGCTTCCACCCCGGCCTGGAGCTCCGGCTCCCCCAGGCCGTTCAGGAGTGAGAGGCGGAGGCTGTCATGGCGGAGGCGGGCAGAGCTGGGGCCCGCCGCCCCGTGCCCCCCCGGCCGCCGGCGGGCCGAGGCTGCGCCGTCCAGGTGGTACGTGTCAGGCGGGCTGGGACTGAGGGAAGCCGGGGCGCCGGGCAGGCCGGGCCGGGTGGACAGCTCGGGGCTGAGTCCCGGGTCCCGCTCCCCGCTCTCCACGGTGCTCGCCGTGGAGGTGTGTGGGTGCAGCGGCTGCTCGGTGCAGGAAAGCAGCGAGGTGTGTGGCTCAGCCTCGGCTATGTGCCGCCTGGCCCTGCACAGTGACGGGCCAGCGTTATTAGTGCTCCCTGTAACAATGTTTGGGTTTATTCTTAATTATTACTATTTTTTCACGTTTATACACATACAACTGTTGTGGTTTGGCAGTGATTTAGGTTTAGTGAGCCAGCCATCTGAAAAGCAAACCCATAGAGATCAATAGGCAAGCAAAAATGATGGACAGCTTCACAAAGTCTCGCATCCTAAAGGCAGGTCAAAGTTTGTGGCCTAAAAAGTCTCTCTGGGTTTGTTTAAAGTAACCCGCGTAGGAGATGTGGCAAAACAAGTGTGCTTCTGCCAGCAGCCGTGAGTTTCTAAATGGCTTGAAATAATGACTCGTATGAAAACTGATTAAAAACAGTGGTTTCTGATTAATCTGGAATCTTCAGCAGTGTGAAAGTGATTTTTAAAATAGATTTTCCACACTCAGATGTGGAAGTGGGCATCTGTTTGCCCTGAAATTTGTGGAAAGTGAAAGTAAATTTACACTTTGGAATTGGTCAGTACGTATCTTCTTAGTGAAGGATGCTGGTGGCAATACCAGCAACGAGAGCTCTTGGATTCAAAACATTCAAGTGCATGGTTTCTGACACTGGTTTTTAAAACCTCACTTTTTTCTCCTTCTATCTTGTGGTTGATGTGTTGGTTTTCAGGCCTAGCTGAGGGAGGACGAGAGCGTTTTTTTTTTGGTGAATACATTTGTAGAAGGAAAGGGATTGAGCTGCCTTTTAACCATTTCACATTCTGCCATCTTTGCCATATATCAAAATTCATTTTGCAGCAAAGCTGGGAATCATCATCTTCAGCTTAGTGACAGCAAAACAGCATTACTAAAAAGATCCAAAATTGTTTCAGGTCTTACTCTAGAGTATCAGAAGTTCAGGAAAAAACAGGTAGTGTCACAATGCTCAAAACCTCACTTGGAATATTGAGACCTCACTTGGAGCATTGTGTGCAGTTCTGATGTCCTCAACATAAAAAGGACATGGAACTGTTGGAACAAGTCCAGAGGAGGCCACGAGGATGATCAGGGGATGGAGCACCTCCTGTATGGAGACAGGCTGAGAAAGTTGGGGCTGTTCAGCCTGGAGAAGAGAAGGCTGCGTGGAGACCTCAGAGCAGCCTTCCAGTGTCTGAAGGGGGCCTTTAGGGATGGTGGGGAGGGACTCTTCATTAGGGACTGTAGTAACAGGACAAGGGGTAACGGGTTCAAACTTAAACAGGGGAAGTTTAGGTTGGATATAAGGAAGAAGCTCTTTACTGTGAGGGTGGTGAGGCACTGGAATGGGTTTCCCAGGGAAGTTGTGAATGCTCCATCCCTGGCAGTGTTCAAGGCCAGGTTGGACAAAGCCTTGGGTGACATGCTCTAGTGTGAGGTGTCCCTGCCCATGGCAGGGGGTTGGAACTAGATGATCTTAAGGTCCTTTCCACCCCTAACTATTCTATGATTCTAAAACCAGATCATAGTTCTGTATATTAACTGTTGTGCTTGGCTTACAGGCTGTGAGGATGTTCCTCTGTTGGATCCTACTATGAATTGTTCTCTGCTAGTGAAAGGACAATTCTGACTCAGTTGTCACTCAGTTGATATTCCAATGACAAAAATACGTTACTTGTTTGCAATTTGTGTCCCTGTGTTCACTCAGAGTTACTTTGCAGGAGCTTTGTGTATTTTTGTAGTTCAATATTATAGTACCAGTTTTCAAATATATGAAAGGCTACTGCAAAGGGAACTGGAATAATAATCCATGCAGAGACCAGGAAGTGGTAGTTGGCATAAATTGCAGCAAAATTACTTCAGCCATTTGGAAGATGGTATGCCAGGTCTCCTTTATGCCTGCTTTTAGAGATTGCCTTAGCAAGGCTGGTGTTTCTGTCCCTGGAGATGTTTGTCAGCTTTAGTTGATCATGTTTTGGGACAGAAGAAGTAGATACTGTCTCTTGAGGTTACTGCCAGCTCATTGGGGGTTTTTTGATATGAATCCATAAGTGCAGCAGTGCCCTGGTTGATGCTTTCCCCTCCTTAAATGAAATAAGGAGACTGAAGTGTTCTGGTACAGTTACTTGAGGATCAAGGCCAGTTTATGAATGCCTAGTTCAGGACAAGTACCAGCGGCAAATTTTGTGTTTCATACTAATCTGTTATGAGTTTTTATGTTAAGTTCTGAGTACCTTAGTGCAGTGAGGTATTTATGGATGCTTTTACACGTGCTACCATTAAAGTATTGTTTTCAGTTCAAACTAAACTGAAGTCCAAACATTATTGTGGTGTTTTGCCCTGCTGTCCTGACTTAAACCAGGAGTTCATTATGGGGAAATAAACCAAAGAAGTTCCAGTTTTGTAATTTTCAAGACAATATTGAGCTGATTTGTGATGCAATAGTTACAGTTTTACAGAGTTAATTAGAAAACATTGGCAAATCATTCATTTTTCTGGATGTGAAAACCTGTGCCTAGTTTATATGGTCATTGGAAGACTTGGAGAACCCTTTTCTTTCTGAATGAATATGTTAGATTGATTAGTATAAATGCATAGGGTTGCATTTTTATTGCCATCTAGACCTAAACGATATTAAAATTCAGAGTTGATATATATTGGTTTAGAATCTCATATTTTTGCTTGTTCTTTTAGTCTCAAAGTTCTGATTTTTTTTGTCTGTATGTTGGAATTATTTGGTAATTAATTTCATATTTTTGTTTTTATTTCTCCTTCTACTTATTTATCTCTCCAAAACAGAAGTCAAAGACCTGCTTTGCTTAAAACTTTAGACAGATTTCCTCCTACTTCTTTTAAATACCCCTTTCGACTGCCAAAAATCAGGTTGTTCATTCATTTTAGACAACAATAGTCTTAATTTTGCTATGGAATGTTCTCACATTTCTTCTTTGTGAGTTTTCTACTGCTGTAGAAAAACAAAAGCATGCACCAAATCTTCCTACTCATGTATGGTTTGCCTGTATTTGCAGTGTACATGTACTCACATGTCACTAAATCTTGATTAATTAAATTTCAATATTCTTCTAGTATTTTGTTTTTTAAGATTCTCGCATGCAATAGGAACTAACCTTCTGTTTCTTCAACTTGCGTGTTTATGGTTACATCACTTGATGAGTTGAAGTTCTGTTTCTAGGAACTTCTTAAAATGTCCAGTGAGACTTTTTACAAGTTACTTGGGTTCTTTGCCTTAAGTTTCGCATCTAGAGGAGGTCTTAGCAGGTACGGGTTTGGCCTTTCCCTTTACAAACATAGCCAGAATGTTTATTTTTGAGATACTGAAAGAATTTGGGGGCAATTGTTGGCTTTTGGGGGGCTAGTTAGAACAGTGGTGAGTAACTGAACAGAAAAATCCCTCATCTCTGGTTTCTAACCAGTTTTAAAATACTTCAGGTAGGTTTTCATGCTTTGCATGTGTGTGGCTGAACCAGTAGAGGCTGTAATAGGAAAGCTTGAAGTTGAAATCATAGACTATGGAAGTATGGCAAACGGCATCTAATGTGCTTAATAGCAGTTTTAAATAGAGTCATTTTAAGAAACATGGTTAGAGCCCAAGGGTACAGGCTGCATATATGAGCATCTCCTAGTAAGTAGTGAGCTTAGAGTGTCCTAAGAAATACAGGAATACTAGAAATAGGTTAGTGTGGTGTTGCAGATGTTTTGTTAGTGTTTTTTGCTTCAGTAGTCTCTTTCCTTGGAGATCTACCAACAGCCATTTTATAACTAAAAAAATGAAAAAGATAGCTTGATAAAGAAGAAAGTCAATCATATATTTAGAATTAAAAGAGAGGATCTTTGCCTTCTTTTTTATTTTTAAGTGCATTTTTTTTGTGAGAGTTTCAGCAAGATCTGGCACTTGCCCTTTTTAATGAATATTCTTATAGTGTAAGTAAACAAAAATAGTGCATACTGACATACACTGGAATTTTTGTTTCTTTCCTTGTAGTCTGTCATCGTGCCTGTTCACAATAGTGAATGCTGGTTAGATGAATGCTTGAAGTCAGTTTGGGAACAAGATTTTAAAGGAACTATGGAGCTGTCTGTTTTTAATGATGCCAGTGAGGTATGTTTCCAACCTTATTTAAGATACTGCCCAAGTAAATACTGTCTCTGATAGGAATCTTTGGTTTGGACTGTGTTTGGTTCACCATACACTTAAAAAGCTGCTGTCTGTGTCATCATTTTTCTAGGATGCTTCAGCTGAAATAATTGAAAAATGGAAGATGAAGTTGGAAGATGCTGGTGTTCCAGTAATTGTTGGTAGCAATGATTCATCTGAACCTCGAGGCGGTATGTAGCTTAATAGTGATTCTTTTGGAGAGTTAGCTTCTTATCGCAGGCATCTTGTATTTTTTAGTTTGAAAAGTGTCTTTATAGCTACTTGCATTGCAGTGTTAAAAAAACAACCCACAATGTGTTCCAGAGCTCTCTGTTCAAAACCTCATTCCCAATTAAAATTTGGCCCTGTTGGTTTTGGTTCTGTAGGATTTGTTTATATGTCCAGGAAAGAAGAACTTGGCTTAACACTCGTGCTACTCTGCAAAAGAATTTTGTTTAGTTGTAGTATACACAGTGGTGGTAACACTTACAGTTTTACTTTGGCTTTCGGAGATCTGAGTCATCTTCAGGAGATGGGGTTTAAGAAAAAAGAAACCTAAAATTTCTCACAGAAGGATTTAAAAAGTAAATGCAGAATAGACCCTGAAATAGAACAAAATATGTTTTTGCTTTCTCTTTTGATGATCAGATCAAAACAGAGGTTTCAGAAAAGTTTTGATGTGAGCTAAAAACTCTCACTAAACTCCTACCTGTTTAGACAAAGAGCTAAACCAGTATGTTTAGTGAGCTACAGAAAAGGTGTATGATGTGATTCTGTGTCAATTTACATGCTAATATGAATTGCATTTACCCCTGGAGGAGATAACAAACGAATTTCTCTAAGAGTTCTTCTTTTGCTTGTTTTGGTTATGTTAAGGTTTGGGTTTGTTTTGTTTGTTTTTTTTTTTTTAGCAGACAAGCTTGCTTAACTGTAAAATAGAAATAAAACATACTGCTCTTTGAAGAAGCTAGTGTTAGTCTGTATTCCAGAGGAGAACAGCAGGACAAACCAAGCAGAACAGGGTGTTCACATTGTGTATAGGAGTTGTATATCTAATCATTCTGGATTTTTGTGGGAGTAGACAGGTAGGACCTGATAGAAAATTGGTTCAAAATGTGTGTCTTTCCAGTTACTTCACTTAAAAGGCACACTTTGGAAACACTGTATGCAAAATCTGGTCAGTTTCTTTTTGTTGGGTGGTTTTTTTTTTTTTAACAAAATACCCCTTTTGTAACTGAAAGAAACCCAGGCTTATTACAGATAGCTTTAAATGATCTTTTTACGAAAAAGCCCAGTTCTTTTTCAGAAGGTTTAATTATCATCCAAAAATTGCACTAAATTAATCTGCACATTGGTACAGGCCCCTGGCTTTATTTACTATCATTTCTTTTGACTATGGACTTTTTTAAACAGTTGTCAGACCTAGCAATATTGAACTAATACAGCATAACTGTTGCTATAAATATTTGAAGTATTTTAATATTTCTAGCATGAACTGATGTTGTTTTGACAGCGTAGCTTTCAATATTAGCATTATTGAGCTGCTGATGACAAAAGACAGACAAGATTTGTAGAGGGAATTTTTCTCCTTTGGACAACAGATAAAGCAATGTCAAGAATTCCTTGTATTTCTGGAAATTTATCTATCTTCCCGCACCCCCCTCTCCAACTATTGGATGATCAGTCTCTTTTCAGATTGTACTTCCCTTAGTTGATGATCTAGAAGCTAGGTAGGATGCAATTGTGTGTAAACTGGGTTTTAGTTTGCACGCAAGTACAACATTTTGGCAGTAATTCATGCTAGAATTCTGAAGTCAGTTCACCTTCGCACTTTAGGAAGGTGAACCTAAAACTGAATTGTGAACTATAGGGAGCATATTGTGCCATTAGGGATGTATCAGGTTATTTTTGGTTTTAACTTGCATTTGTTAGTGTTGGGATAGCTGAAACCTGAACAAATGTTTAATAAATTGGGGGTGGGGGATGCAGCTGTGAGCATTGTTTTAAGTAATAGTATGAAATGCAGAGTTCTTTAAAAAAAGCAAACCCAAGCTTATTCATGTGGAAGTCACTCTCAGGTCACCATTAAAATGAGGACATCTTTTCTTCACGGTTGTTACATCTTAGGAGCAGGTTACTTGAAATCCATAGTATTTGTTTGCTTTCAGTGATTTACTTTTATTATGTTAAGGACTAGTTACAACTGTAAGGAGTCTTTCCTTTAAAAGAAGATGCTTTAGTACAGAAACAATGTACTAGTCAGGCTTCACATCTTCAACTATTTACACAAGATTAGGATTTATTCCTGATTCTTTTCTAGCATGTAAAAGAAAGGGGGGGAACCTAGAAAAAAGAAAGGGTCACTTGCCTAAAAAAAGGAAACCTTTTTCTTTCCAAGAGTGAGGAATGTTAATATCTCACTGAGGCTTAAGTTTTTACGGCTGTAACCATGGTAACAGGCTCTTTTCACCAAGTAAGCAGGCCTTACAAAACTCAGAGACCTGGCACAAACGTTGCATTTTGTTCAGCAAAGTAATATGAAAGAAATTTTTTTTCCTCATGCCAAGCATAGGATTTGTTGTGCTGAAACCAGTTTTAGTATCTAGTTTCTTCCATGGGAAGTTACATCTCCCTTACTAATAACCTCTAAAGTATGTGTGTTTTCTTCTATCCCCCTTAAAAAAATGGCTGGTATAGTAAAAGCTTCAGGATGATTTCTGTCTTAATGTTAGAAAGAAACATGTTCCAACTTTTTCTCATAACAAATCATAAAGATTTCAGTATTTTATGTAAAGTGGTTTATTTTAAAAAGAGATCTGAAATATTTCAGAACATTCATTGAGTAATATAATTGTCATCTTGTAGTTGCCTTTAGCTGCCTTCTCTTTTTTTCCTGCTGATTCCTAGTTCTTCATTATTTTCTGCTGAAGGTTGCTGAAATATCGGGTATACTAATGATAGCATTGAAATACAAGTACAGGCTGCTTTACGGCTGGTAATGATGTGTAAAAGTAGTGATTTCATTGATGTTGGGCAGATTTAGTTCTGTTCTGTTCTTCTACCTCTCGCTTGTGTAGGGACCTCCATAGTGTTGGGGTTTTGCTTGTTTGGCATGTCCAGACCTGCTAACTTTCATCAGTTGTTTCCCACTAAAACTGCTCATGCCAGGTTTCAGCTCTGCTGTTGTGGTAGCTACTGACTTTGCCAGCTGCTTTTTTACTGCCAATAGGAAGGAGAATGAGAGTAACTGTATATGTGAGATTAGATGTTCATATGTGTCTAAAAAGGTAATATACTGTAAGATAGTAAGCCTGAGAAATCCATGATTATAAGAAGGTAAGGATTAAAATACTCAAAATAAGTACGAAAAGAATAGCACAATTATGAGGAGCCTTCATTTGTAGTATTCTGTTGGTAGTTGACATAATGTTCCTTTGAGGCAGTAAGAAATGCCGTCATAAGGCTTTTTCTGTACTTGGACAACTCAGCAAAATAGCCAAGGAGCATGCACATTAAAACTAAGTGAACCTTTGAGCCCACTTAAATTTGTTTCCTGAGTAAACTTAAACCTGTATCACAAAAAGAGTGGAGAATTACAGAATTCTGCTTTTTTCAAATGCAAAAGCAGGAACTTTAGAGACAGTATTATTTAAAATGATCCTGCTTCACTTCATGGTGAGATTTTTCTGGCTTTACGATTCCAGATTTTTCCATTAAAGAGTAAAAACCCTACAGTACTGCATATCTTCACCTCATTTGGTTCGCATGTCAGGGCAATCTTTTGCTGTATTCCTTTGACTGTGTTCCATAAATACTTTAAATGAAGCTTAAATGTTAGGTATTATGACCAAGTGGAATTCATATAGCACTTTTCAGAATAACTCTGGATATATGTGGTCTCTTCTTATAATGCTGCCTGGGAGAAGAGTTCAAAGACCATCATGTTCTTGGGTAGGTCTTGTCTACATGCAAAAATATTCCCAGATAAAACAACCTTGCAGATGAACTCAGTTTACCACTGAAATACATCTTCTTGCTGGTTGCTGTAGTCCCATCCTTACCCTTGGCTGTGTATTGCTGCTCTGTCCCCCCTCCTTTTTTATTTCTGCCCTGGCATTAGTTTGACCTGCCAATGCTGTCATCTGCTTCCGAAATTAAGCTGACAAAAAGTTTTCTTTCAGTTCAACTTCCTGAAGTGACTTGGTAAAAGATTCAGCAAGGGTCAGGGGGTCAGAAACAAAAAGACTGGATGCCAGTGTTGTCAATTGTCTAAATCTGTATTTCAGTGTCTTTGATAGATGGTATAATATGTGGTATTAAATAAGCCAGGTTTGTGCTCATTGGTTATGTATTCTGCTTTGGTTCCCCTCTGCATTACCTGTGCCATTACACTAATGGCACAGGAAGTTTTTTGTATTTACATACTTTATATTTAACGAGCATAGTGGACCAGAACAGAACTTCCCTGATGGGTATAACAGGTTAGCTCTTATTCTTTCTTTTCAAGAAAGAGCTCTTATAGCAAGCTCGTATTCTTTCTTTTCCTTCTTAAGATTTGTTATTATTTGTTAGAACTGAAGAGATGAATGTATATACAGCCAGGGGTTTTCAGCATCTGCTCATTGCAGGGGGTTGCACTAGGTGACCTTTAGGAATCTCTTCCAACCCAAGCCGTTATGTGACTATATGATCTGAGGTACTGGATGTGGAACCGAGATATAGCTGACTCTTCAAGGTAGATATTGCAGATTATATTCTTCTAGTACTAGCAAAAGTAGCCCAAGTTTACTTGGTGGTAGAATTATAACACATGGAACTGATAATCACTCAGAGAAGATGACTGAAATAGGCATACTGATTAACTATTTACCAATGACCTTGCTTTAAATATGGAAAAATCATGTACTTCCCCTGATCCTGATTTTTGTATTTCCTTTCATCTGTTCCTGATGGTAGTAAGATTTAAAAAAAATACAACAGTAAAACCAGCCACATAATTTTATCTTTGTTTTTTCAACAGTTGGGTTTGCTAAAAATCAAGCAGTAATTCAGAGCTCGGGAGCCTATCTCTGCTTTCTGGATTCAGTAAGTGAATACATTTTGTCTAAGTTAGTTTTGTCAATAAAATTCTTTATTTTAATGTAATTGTTGGTTTGCTTTAAAGATAAGCTGTTGAAAGATGTTGGGATGTTAGACAACTTGGTTACCATTTATAGCTGTAAAGGTGTCTTCCAACCTGTAGCAAGCCTACGGGCTCACACTGTTCCTTGATCCTATTGGATTTCACAAGCTGTTATGAGCAGGGTTGGTATTTAGGTGTTTTCAGGATTTTTCTTTCCCACATTCTTCAGAAAAATCATACTAATGAGCAACTAGGAGCTGATCTGCTGTTTTTTTGGGTGCAAAATATGAGAAATCTCAGCTTCCATCTTGGAATTTTTTTCCTGTCTTTGTTGGATACCTCCTGTGAACCCCTTCAGCTCACTAACCCACAGATAACTGTCTGACTTTCTGCAGCCTAATACGCAGTGAAGGGCTTCACAACTGTGTATCTGAGGAATCTGAGGAATGGTGCCATGTGGCTGGGATCAGGCAGGAGCAGGACCTTAAAGGCTCACTTGATCTTGTGTAATTTCACCTGAAGATTGATTCTTCCTTCTGAATTGGAACTGAACGGTGGTTTAGTGTGGTACTAGGATTAATTGGCTGCTGAAAGCGTAGGTTTTCAGGTAGGAGTCAACTTAATGTTATGATTGTGCTTAGTAGAAAGTGTCATGAGAGCAGGGATGTAAAATTAACAGCCTTAAAACCACACAGGTTTTAATTTGGGTAATCTTTCAGTTTGCAACTCCATTTGCTGTATCAGCTAGATAGAAGGATGGTTTTTGTTGTGTGTTTAAAGTCTTGTGAATTAATCAATGGACTGTTGCAAGACATGGTTAAGTGCTGGTATATTTCTTCTGATCGAAGGCAATGCAGCAGAAATTTCTTATCATTTAAGAAATTAAGTTTTACAGGTGGCTTTGCTGGCCTTTATTCTTGCTTTTATTAATTTATCACCATATTTAGCAACACAGTGTGCCTTTTAAAATGAGTTTGAGTTTATCCTGGCTTCCCTTTACCAGTTTGTTGGTTTGAGGTGTTTGTTTATTTTGCAGAGTGTATTTCATGCAAATCTTTGTGTGTAAGTTCATGGAGGGTGAAGCTTTGAAATGCATGTGAGTATATATTGAATACACAGGACTCACAGGACATATGCAAATTAATGGTGTTTGAAAAGGCCAGTTTCTCATACATGCATACAAAAAAATGTATTTTATACCCAGTGCTGAGCATCAGTGTCTACTTCATAAGCAAATTATTTTGAGGAAATATGAAGAGAAAATGTGCTGCTCTGTTTCTGATTACCTGACTCAGCATAATTTGTAAGAGTGGAGGGCATAAGAAATTATGCCATGAAGTAACAGGAGTAATCCCAGTTTTGTTGAGATGAATGAACTTGGGATCCAGTTCCTTTCACTTTACTTCATTGCTGACTGAAGTGAGTGAGACATTAACCTACTATTCTCTTGTCCCATGGAGCTTTTTATCTTCTATCTCAAATCTGTATAGGGTAATTTGCTGAGGTGAATTTTGGATTAGTCTTTCTTTTCAATCCTGGCAGATGTACTTGTCTGTAAATCACAGGCAGTAAACTAGTGATACGTAGTGATGGCACAACAGGTGATGGGTTTGGTTAAACAGGGGAAGTTCAGGTTAGATATAAGGAAGTTCTTTACTGTGAGGGTGGTGAGGCACTAGAACAGGCTGCCCAAGGAAGTGGTAAATGCTCCGTCCCTGGCAGTGTTCAAGGCCACGTAGGACAGAGCCTTGGGCGACCTGGTTTAAGGCGAGGCGTCCCTGCCTGTGGCAGGGGGTTGGAACTTGGATAATCGTAAGGTCCTTTCCAACCCAAACTATTCTATGATTCTGTGACACTAGAATATTAAATTGTTTAGATGAAATTTTCATAGAGTTCCCTTCGGATTTCTTCACTTGTTGTTATGCATACTTATGGTATGCATAATGCCATAAACACCTTGGAGTGTTTATACAGTATGCATCTTCATGCTTCTATATTGTTTCTCTTTGCTGGCTGTGCAGGATAAGGAAACATTAGGGAAACAAATTAGAACTCTTAAGGAATGTAAAACTGATGACTCTGGATTCCTGCAATATTCTCATTAGCATTTATATTTAATATAATCAAGACATACTCAAAGCAATTTGAGAGTTTTATGACTTATCGTGTGGATAAGCTTGGAAAAACTTACTAAGATTTTCTGTTCTACCCATTTCTGTTCATGCTATTGAGCAAGATGCTTCAAAATAGAAGGCATTCTGAACTATTAGAAGCCTCATCTTGGGTACAAAAGCAATATCAAGTGATCGCTGTTACTTAAACCTATTTTCTACTGTTTTTCCTCGTGACTACTTCTTTTTGCTGAAAACATCAGAGGAAATAAAATGAATGTGGAAACTGCTACAAGTCTAAAAATTGCTCAATATTTTGGCCATAGTAATTGTTGTGTGATAATAGCTGAAACACAGATGTTGCCAGCTGTTTAACAACTCCACTTCTACACGCCACCTACCTTCATTTCAGTCACCAATCCAGTCTCAAGCTCTCTAGGAAGGAATGTTGATATCAGCCTTTTGGAATGCGGTGCAGTAATGCCAGGGAATTGACCTTCAGAAGTGCAGCCGTAATTTCAGGTTTGCTATAGGTTGAATTGGAGTGAAATGGGGCTGGGTCAGTAGTTTGTGTATGTTTCATATAGGTGGAGAAATACAATGAGGCTCCTTGTACATTCCTTTGGGTGAAATGAATGTAGGAGCATATTTGGGAGCATCTTTGAAAGTACTGGCTCCAGGGAGACTGTTTTGCTTGCCATTCCAGCTGGAGGCAAGCTGCTTGTGTTATGTCTCTCAACACAGATTTGTGAGGACAACAAATTGAGAAGAAATGTGGAAAAAAAGGTTACAGAGCTCAGAACTGTCAGAATTTGATCAGCCTATTCTAGTATGAAGTGGCAGCTGTTTGACTAATAGCTATTGTGGAGGGGTTTTTGCTGTGGTTGTTGTTACAGATTTCACCTCTAAGCTATTGAGGCATTTTTCCCACAGGGGAAAACAAGTTGGAAAATTGAAGATACTTAACAAATTGTTCATGTTGAACATTTATAGTCTCAGAAAATAAAATCCTGGTCATGCAACAATAGAATGAATGAATTATGCAAATACATTTCACTGTTAGCTTTGCTCTTCAAGTTCTCTGGGGTTATGACTGTAACTACCAGATGCACTGTGTTGTAACCTTAGTTTTTCAGTTATCTGGGGTCGTTACCAGCTTTGTCATAGTAACTTACCCAACTGTAGCACAGCAAAAATTAATTTTTCTGCTTTGAACTGCTATTTTTGTTGACATTCACTTAAACATGCCCATACTCGTATAAAACTGTATTTCATTAAAAAGGAACACGCTTTCATTTCTCCCTAGTAAGCTGTGTAGTTTCCCATTATTTCAGGTATAATGAATGTGTTGTTGGAGGGTTCCTGGCTGGTGAAGAAGAAATATCAAAATGTGTCCTTTTTTGACCTGCAATATTTCAAACCCAGTCATAGTCCCTTGAGTCTTTGACACGCTTCTAGCCTTTTGAAAGGCTCTGTTGGCAGACTGTCGGTGCTTCTGAGGTTCTGAGCCAGTTCAAAGATGTGACTCTACACCATGTTGCCACAGTGTCACTGCTTGCTAATAGTTGAAAGTGACAGAGGGAAACAGTGAAGGTTTATTCCCCAGAAGAAGGGGGGACCACCAGAATTGGTATTGCCATATTTGAATTGGCAGCTGCTGACCTGTGCCTTTCCGTTTGGGAGATCTGCTTGTATGATTTAAGCTGGGAATGTTAATTGTAAATTGCTGTGAAATTGCATGCTTTTCTTGAGTTTCAAGTTCAAAACTCCTTCATTGAGGGGGTATTCATTAAGGTGGTTGGACCTTAGCTAGCCAGACTTGGTAGATGTTGCAGGGACTCCAGCCTTCAAGGTAGCTTTCAGTTATAAACACAGCTACTTGTTTTTACAGTGTCTGTAACTTGCTGGCTTTGGGAAGAAGGATGTATTGTTGGTTGCCATTACACATTACTCTACAGGCACTAATGAACTTGAAATATTCTTCATTTCTAAGGTTTCTATTGATGGAAGGTACTACTCATTCATGAGCATAAGAACACTGTGTATATACCCCCCTGTAGACTTTTTGTTGCCATGCTCGGGATAAGAAAGGTGCTCAGTGAAATCAGTTTCTTAAACTTAGAAGTTATTTCTTTGTTGTCCCCTTCTTTCTCAATTTAATCCAGAAGTAGAAACATAAAAATCATAGTTTTTCCTATGGTCTTGCAAGTACTAACAGATAGCAGAATGTGTTCTGCTCAGGTGTCTTGTGTGTGGCCATTAGAGTGCACAGTTGGATTGTGTCCAATAGCAGGGGCTTCTTTAAAAACCTGCCTTCTAGAAAAGTGCACAGTATTGGTGTATTCATTTTGGTAGTGCTGTTGATGGGTCAGTTCTTGGAGGTCTGAGGCCTTTTCCTCCCTAGTTCAAGGAGTTGAGCTGAACAATAGCATAGAAAGATTTTCCCTATAGTCTGAGCAGGTGCAGGATAAATGAATGACCATTTGATGGATTGAAACACTGTGGAGATGCCATATTGTTTCTCAGCAAGTCAAACATGCCTTCTGGCATCGGTACAGGTTGTATTTTATGTATAATATCTGCAGTGGAAAGACGGTGCTGCTATTGTGGATATGGAGTTTTTCAGCTCTCTTTGTGTGCGTGTGTGGGTTTTTTGAACAGCCAAATACGAAGGAATTTGGGCAGCATGTGGTGCAGAGTCTGTAATGTGAGCTTAAGAAAGCACTTCAGTACTGAGCTATAATTAGTGTGTTGTTTTATATTAACTTGTCTTTGGTTTTAAAAAGTAGATGTGTATTGTACTTTGAGTTGTATGTTTTATTTTACTTTCTGATGTGCAACCCCCCCCTTTTAAGGGGAAATCATGCAGTTGTTACTGTGGAGTTCAGTGTGGTCCAGGTGACCTGGTTGAAGAGGCCAGTGAATTCCTGTCATTTGGATTTACCCAAATTGATTTGAGAAACATATCCTGAAACAGCACCAGCTTTGAATAATATTCTTAAGCTCAGTCTGTTGCTTTAATTTTCTTTTTCTTCTACTATACTGATGAGTAAAGTGAAACAAAACAATTAGCTCAGTATAAACTGTGTTTTTATAAGGAGTGGTGCCTCTGCTTGGAAGGAAGACAACCCAGCTGATAGTTGTGTAACTAGCTTTTTGATTTGGCAGCATCTGTAAGTGGTGAGGAACTTGACAGGAGCAAGCCAGCTTTCTCCAGAAGGGATATATCTGATAGGAGCCCAAGCAGGCAGAATGCCTGTCAGACTGAAAGGTGATGGAGATCACGGCCCCCCACTGGTAGAAACACATCTGGGCTTGTTTAGAAATCCCTGCTGGTTTTTCATGCAAAATAAAGTCCTTTTTATTCTCCCATCTTTCAGCACATTGTTTTCCTATTCAGAATGGACACTGGAGAACAGGAAACATGTTTGTAATCAACAAAATTCCTACAAATTCTTGGTTAAGTGCCTAAAATAGGTTTCTATTTATGTTCCTTTATTTCTTGCTGGTTACCTGTTTGGCCTCATTTGCACTGTATGGATGTCTGTACATATGTAGATGACAGTAAACCCAGCTATTACCTGAGATTTTCTTCATTTTTCTACTGTTTGGTGAGTGGGGACACAAGAAAATGGATTTACTTACTCTTATTTAGCTATGTTATTGAAGTATATGCTTAGTGAAGGCATGCATTTATCTGGGGTTTATTTTAAATCTGCTCTTTTGTCCATTCTTTCAGTGGGGGTGAATCTGCATTCGTCCTGTCTGCCTTGTATCTGCTAGGAGACAACCATTAGAGAGTTCATGTTAAAAGAGAAAACTGAATTCCAGTGGAAACTTCTGTTTCTTAAAAGTATATATTCAGTGTAATTCACTGCTAGCCTTGTTGTCTTCCCTGTTTACACATAGGATACAGAAACAAACTGAATATACTTTCCTTTTTGATACAGCAGCTACATTCAGATACCTGCTTTCTTTTTGTCTGACATGACAGAAGTGAAAACTAATTTGGAAAGTGTTTGTCTTGTTACTAAGGTTTGTTCTGGGCTTTAAACCAAAAAAGATGACCAAAGTCTGTTTAGTGCAGAAACCAATACAGTTGCTGAGTTCAATATCGTAAATACAACAGTTTTGGTAGGACATTTATGATTACCTAATGTGCAGCTGGACGAAGTATTTTAACATCTTAGTTGTCTAATACTATGGTTGCTTAAACTCCATAAACATTTCCCAGTGCAGGTCATGGTTGGGCATCTCATGCCTACCAATGGTTTACAAAGTTGAAACATTTTTTAAAGTGCTCCTATTTTATGGCACAATCATAGAATAGTTAGGGTTGGAAAGGACCTTACGTTCAAGTTCCAACCCCCGTGCCATGGGCAGGGACACCTTACACTCTCACCTCACACTCAATCATTTTGGTTTTATTCATTAGAATTGAATTTGGTTTCTTAAACACTGGTCTAGAATACAGCCACACTGCTTCAGATTGTCTGTATAAATATATGCTGTTTTCCACTTCCTGGCTTCCTGCCCAGTCATCACTCACAGAGTAGTTTGGGTGGGAAGGGACCCGTGGAGTGCTGAAGCTGGATTTTGCAGTTAACTTTCTTTTATAGTTGCCCAGCCTCAGTCTAAAAAACCAAGTGGCTGATGAGACTCAGTTTTGCCTGGGATGTGATGTGTATTTTGTGCAGTTCTTCCCCATCACCTAACTGCTTTGTTGGTTTATTTGGGTTTATGTCTTAAATGACTATATTCTTTCCCCCCTCCCTCCTTTCTTTCTCCCATGACCCTGGAAAGTATCACAGAACTATACAGCAGGGCATCATATGTGTACAACTGCTAATAAAAAGAAGGCAAAACTCTTTTGAAAGGTCATTCAGGGTAAGAGTTCATAGAGTTTTTCAGCATTAGAGAACAAAGATGTATTAATACAAAAAAGGCATTTTGGAGTTTTTATGGTCATAATGCCCCCTCTTTGGCTGGATTTTACAGAGTACTGATGATCTTGGTGATAGCCTAAGCCCCAAATCTGTAGACGTGTTAGTTTTGCCAACAGAATCAAAATGACACAGTGTTTTGTTAGGGGGAACTAGACCTTTCCTGTCAAGTTGTCTGCTTATGAAAACATAACACTGACCAGTTTGGTGAATAGGAGATTTGAGTTTGGTTTGAATACTTTCCATGCTGTTTTAACCTTTTAAAATGAAGTAGATTATTATTCATCCTTGTGAATGTCTGAGTTCTGTTAAAGTTATCTCTGTTGTGCAGCATCATAAACTGAGGAATCTTTTAGTACAAGGGCATATGTTGCATATTGTAAGAGATAATAGTAACATTGTTCTAAGCGTTGAAATTCCTTGCTTTTTGATGGATTGCGTTTGCATTCTCATTTTGGGCGGATTTAAAAAGAAGACATCTAAAAATCCTAAGTAATTTGTAAAGGAGTGAACAAAGCTCAGTTCAAATACATTTGCTATTGCATATATGATCTTAACCAGGTTTTAATTTACAAAATTCAGTTGTGTATTTGGAGTGAGAAATTGGATTATGGTTCTTATGCGAAATAGGGTAAATATTTTCTTGGAATATTTGCTTGATACAGTACCTGAATTTGGGTGCATTATTGCTAAAGTGCATTAGATGGTAAATACTGTCTGTTTTAAATAATTGATGTACAGAGGTGGAGAAATCAGAATGTTTTTTTTCACTCTGCTGGCTTTCAAAATCAGTAAGATCTTTCATGCACATGACTAAATGTATCCTAAATACAAAATAGAGGGAAAAATCCTTTTGACGGTGTATTCCTTCTACCTTTTATAAACTTGCATGTGATGAGGGTCAGTTTATTATTAATTATTTTTATCTTTAACCTGGAATTTTGGATCTACTTCTTATACTTTTTTTCATCCTTGCATTGTTTTTGATATAACTTGTGTCACCTTTATATCGAGGTCGTTCAATCTTTTAAGCTCAAGATATTTAAGCACAAATATTTTTTTGTTGCTGGTGATTTGATGGAAAGTTTCAATGTGGAAGTTGTTGGAAGATCAATATTTAGTGTTTTTGGCTTTAGTAGGAATCTCCTTAGAATGATTTTAATGTGAGGATCATTTCAAAATACTCTGAGAAGAAAATGGCTGGATTAGTTTTAACCAGCACCTGAGAAAGACTGAACTGATCCTTCAAAAGGGAAGAAATATGGCACCAAAATGGAAAAGAATACATGTGGAAACCTCAGGAGACTAAATTTAGGGAGGAAAACTTGTGCTACAGTCAGGCATTTTAATAGACTGTAAAACTGTAGTCTAGAAGGGATATGATCATGAACAGGAAATAGTATTTTGAAAGGAGTATCTCCTCCTGTCTGTTGAAAGAAGGATATGAGGTTACAAACTCTTTACAAATAACCTCACTTTTTGTAAGTAAACAACATAGACCTTTATGCTACAGGTGAAAGAAGTATTAACATCAAACTGAAATCCAGGTGGTGTTTTTTAAAGTCATGGTCAATGCTGATGCATTTTATGAGTGTGTGTATTCTTTTTTTTTCCTTTTTATTTTGCCTTAGAATTGTATCATGTGACAAATATTAGTTCTTGTGCTCATGAAATGTGGCATATCAGTACTAGAGACTGAAGGCTTTTCCTTATCAAGGAAACAAGGTACATTGAGGACATTTCCTCATTCAAAGCAATTCCTCTTGCTTGAATGTTATAAATCTCATGCTTTGAATCCAGGTTAGTTCCTTGTCCGCACATAGTGCCAGTTTGGTGATCAGAGTTCTTAAACTGTTGGTGAGTTTCTTTAGATACGTACAGTATGTGGGTGCCCATAGGATACATGTTGAAATCAGAACACAGTTGTCATGTAGTAGTTTTGATCCCTTCCAATTTGAAGAGCACTGAGTTTAATACGCTAAAAGTGTAAAATCTCTTAATGTTTGTTCCTTCTCTAGTTTTGACTGCAAGCCAGTAAAATGATGTTAATTTAGCACCATATTCTGATGTGTCTGAACACTGTACTGTGACCCTTTTTATGTTCAGTAACAGTGTGCTATTTATTCCAGGATGATGTGATGATGCCACAGCGCGTTAGGCTGCAGCACGAAGTTGCCATTCAACACCCAAACAGTGTGAGTACTTTTTTCTGGGGTGTATTTGTGTGTTTTTCTTTTACAGAGTGCCGGATACATCTTTAAAAGGATATGAAAATTTCACAGTAGGGCTGGTGGAGGCAGAGCAATAACCACTGTCTTCTTTCCCTTTATTTTAAACCCTTGCTTTGATTTGAATAGGAGCTTTGATTGGAACCTCTTCCATTTATTTTCTCTGTTCAGTAAACCAAATGTCATTATGACAGGGATGCTCTTTTTCAAGTAAGTATGTAGGTTTTGCCAATGTATGGAACCTAAAGAAGCCTTTTTTTAATGTGAAAAGCTACATAGGATTGGCTACAGCTATGGCTTATTTGGTTTTAATATTTAAGAAACTAAACTGTAAGCAATGGATGGATTGTTATTAATAAACTGGCCTACAGTTAAACTAGTATTTCTGTATGTCTGTCTTCAAAAGAAGACATTATTAGAATGCCGTTCTTTATTCTTGTGAAGTAAACTGTCAAAAACATTCTGTGACATGGTTGGTTTATGATCTATATAATTTTGATTTTAAATCAATTTCTGTGATTAGGGACAGTATATTTTAGAGAGATTGCGTCTGTGTTTTACTTACCTGAAGATAATAAATATAAGTAATTTGTTATGGCAGTTACTTTATTTGTTAAAGTTACTGCCTTAAAGTTACTCCTTTATTAACTAGAAAATGGAGTTTATATTCCTACCGGTTGGTGTTAAGCAAAAAATTGGCTGATTCTTTTCACATCTCTGACATTTTCTCTTGTGACATTTATTTCAATGTGGTTTCTGGAAAGGAAAGGTCAAGCAACTTAATTTGTCAAGAAGGTATTTCCTGCAGGTCTCTGAACAAAATAGGCAGTTGTAGGATTATCACTCTCTGGGAATCAAACACCTTTTGAACTTTTCCTCCAAAGCACACTTGCTTCAAAGTAAAGATTATTGCAGTTGTTTTGGCTGAGGAATGTCTGCCAAACAACCTGTTGCTTAGTGCTGAGATGTGTAGCTGCACATCATGCCACCTGTACTAGGTCTCTATGAAATCTGATAATCCTTACAGTGTAATTTATCACATTATAGTTTAAGTAGCTCCTGAGTAGCAGTTAACCTAATTCACATTTTGAACATAATAAAATGATACTTTGAAAGTTGTTTTTGTTCTGATATCAATCAGTTAATGCAGTTCTGTAGTAAATGCTAAAAAACCGGTGAGGCAAGTTGATCCAGTAAACTTGGTTTATGGAGACAAGTGCTAAGAGCTATCATGTTTCTCCTTTGACTTCTGTATCTGTATATTAAGACCTTTTTAATTAGACTAATTTTGACTGAAGTTTGTAGTCTATTTAGAAAATACTTCAACTGTTTTGTTTATATTCTGTTATACTTTAGTGCCTAACAATGCTCTAATGAGCTATGAAGTGACAGTCAAATAAGTAATGGTACCTGAGTAGACTGAAGGGTATGTCTTCATTATATGATTATATCTTCTAAGCAAAGCAAACTTGCTCTTCCCATGCTTGAACTAATCTGAATTTGTGGTTCTATGTTATTGTGGTACTTGTGATGGGTTGACCTTGGCTGGACATCACGTGCCCATCAAGCTGTATCACTATGGGGCCAGGGGAGAAAATAAGATGGAAAATAACATAAGATGAGGGTCAAAATAAAGGTGGTTCAATAAAGCAAAAGCAAAGGGCATGGGCAGAAGCAAAGGCAAAGATTTATTCTCTACTTCCCATCAGCAGGTGACGGCCAGCCATTTCTTAGGAAGCTGGGCTTCAGTACGTGTAGTGGTTGTTCCAGTAGACAAACATCGTAATAACAAATGGCCCTCCTCCTCCTTCTTTCTCTTAGCTTTTATTGCTGAGCAGACATCATATGATCTGGAGTATCCCTTTAGTCAGTTTGGGTCAGCTGTTCTGGCTGTGTCCTCTCCCAGGATCTTACCCCCAGCCTACTGGGGCGGAGGGAATGTTGCAGAGACAGGCGTGATGCTGTGGAGCAGTGCTCAGCAGTAGCCAAAACAGTGTGTGTTACCGACACCTTGCTAGCTACCAATACACAACTCAGCATTAGGAGGACTGCTGTGGGGAAAGTTAACTCCATCTCAGCCAGACCCAATGCACAAAGCTTAACTTGAGCTTTGTGCTTTACTAAATAGAAGAGCCAAAGTCAGTTTGATTTAGTGTGGGAAATAAGGGTTTCCACCTTTTGGTTATCTGACATGCTAGTTCGTAAAAGCTTCAATTTAGTAAAGTGTAAAAATTCTCAGAAATGAATGCAGAGAAAGGCCCGTGATGTTAAACCTTAAGAAAAATGGTAGATGTGTATCTCCCACATCTGGCAGAGAGGGGCCTATAGGGATGCTGGGGAGGGACTCTTCATTAGGGACTGTAGTGACAGGACAAGGGCTGATGGGTCAAAACTTAAACAGGGGAAGTTTAGATTGGATATAAGGAAGAAGTTCTTTCCTGTTAGGGTGGTGAGGCACTGGAATCGGTTGCCCAGGGAAGTTGTGAATGCTCCATCCCTGGTGGTGTTCAAGACCAGGTTGGACGATGCCTTGGGTGAGATGGTTTAGTGTGAGGTGTCCCTGCCCATGGCAGGGGGGTTGGAACTAGATGATCTTAACGTCCTTTCCAACCGTAACTATTCTATGATTCTATAGCACATCTGGCTGGAATCTGTGTCATGCCACCACTTTCACCTTTCTCCTGAATCGGAGGGTTTCCTCACAGCTTTTTGAACAAGGACCTTGGCTTTCCTAGTTTTTCTTTTCTTTAAACTTCTACTGGTTTTTATTTGCTATTATTTCTTGCCTTACATTGTTGACTTTCACATGTAGAGTTCCCTTCTCTATTCTTGAATCCTGCCAAAGCAAAAATGGATGTGTTTGAATTGAATGGAACATGTTTTCCATTTTTAAGGTATAGTTAAGTGCTTGTAATTCCTGTGTGAATTATATCTTCTGGTTTAATGTTGTATTTTAACAACTAATTCAAAGGCTTGAAAGAAGAAATGGGAACATATCCAGCTGTTCCTGATGAGCAAAGAGATCAGTTTGGTCCAAAGCCCTCCAGTAGTTCTGACTCAATGTGAGTTACTTTGAGAGAAGCTGACCTTCTGGACGCAAATCTACTGACCACTGTCAGTGTTGGCTGCTATTAAAAGAATGATCTCTACTGTCCTAAAGAATAATCGTGCCATTGAATTTTCTGCTCTTAGAAGATGGTTGGGGATGTTTGAATGAAGTTCCATTCTGTAGCTGGAAGTCCTGACCCTAGCTTCAGCAGTATGACAAGCCAAAGTAGGTGGAGGGAGAAAAATAAGCAGAAGCTTGAGCAATGCCTGTGAAGCAGTGGGCTTTTTTGGTTTGTTCCTGAAATTCTACTTTGCAGCCTTGGACTTTCCACTGTTTTGCAACTTCTGACCTGGATCTTTGACTTTCTGCAGTTTGTGTACTTTCAGAAATCTTGTTCCTAATCCCAGCCTTGCTGGCTGTTACTGAGAGCCAGACTTGAAGACTAGTATTCCCAGTGGGCTCTAATATTGAAGGCTTCAGTCTACTGTCATAGATTTACAAGTAAGAAAAGTCTCCAACTTTCTCCACCAAGAGAAACCTTTACCCAGATCTTAAGTAATCCCTGAGGTTCTTCCTCTTTCATGTTATTCCTAAATGCATATTGCCTTACTCCGACTTGAAGCCTGGTTCCTAAATGGTGGAACCAATGATACCAGATGCTTTTGGAATGACTCCCCAACCAGTTGTTCTTCAAAGAAACTGGTGTCTCTATCTCTGAAAAAGCAAGAGCTTGCCCTCAGGTTTGGGTACTGGAATATGACTGGGGTAACAGTGCAGCAGCACGCATGAAATGCAGTCTCGTCTCCTGTATTATAGGCTACTTAACCATGCTTTAAAGAGCAAGAACAAATTATTTTTTTCTCTTTGAAGCTGTTCTTGTCTGGAAGACTTTTAACAAAAAAATTGGAGGATGGAATTGTTCTGTCATTGGTAACATCGGTAACTGTAACAACATGGAGAATTTTGGATCTTGAAGATAAATTACTGATACATTTTGATTTTGCTAAGTGCAGCTCTCTAGGACCAGTGTCCTCTTGTACTCTGGGGACTATTTAATGTTATGTCTAAGTCCTACTGACAAGGATTATATAAACAGGACACTCTTGGAAGACACCAGTTTTTCAGACTGCCTATTTATACCCTGTATATGAACTCTAGAGCTCTGCTAGCGCAGTGTGGTTACCTGCTTTTAACAGTTTGGAACCTTAAGGACATGGTACTGTCTATGAGTAATATAGCTACCAGCCTTCTGACATGGGTTGCCTGTTGCACATGTGCACTATGTTACGGCACATACAAGCGTGCCTTCAAATTGCTTATGCTCTAATCAGATCAGGAATGACTTTGCTAGAGAATGAACAACCATTACTAAAATTTCTCGCTCTTGTCTGTGTTTATCCCTAGAAGCAGCATCTGTCCCATTTACCTGGGGTAAGCCAGGTGTTCCCTCTTTACCAACCACAAATCATGAATGCTTTCTTGGCAGCTAATGGGTGGGAAGATTCCACATCACATTTCCCTTAATTCTGAAAAAATCAGGCTTTCATATTTTCAATTATACTCATGTTCTTCTGGAGGAGATCCAACTTTGTGTACGTACTAGTGTTGTATTGAGCAAGGCTTCTGAGTTTGGAGTAGCCCAGGAAATTATTTCCCAGACCAAATACACACATGTGCTGCAGTCTTATTTGAGCAGGGTAGTACCCTTTAAGAACTTCCAAAGCTTTTTGTTTCAGGGAGAGCGGAGATAGTGAGCAGCATCTGCTCCCAGGTTGTCTGCTGGCACAGGGCTTGCATCAGGACCTGCTATGGGCGTGCTGAGGTGAAATGGCTGCATGTGGTTTGAGTACACCCTAGGAGAGCTCGAGTAACATTAAAGAACTTCTCTAGAATGTGCTTCATTCCTGAGCTGCTGAGG